TGACATTTTAAATCATGTTGGGTTTTCCATTACAAAATTAGGAGGGAATTACCTTCAATAGGATGAAAAACTGACTTCAGGTTTTATTTTTAAACTAGACTCCCCAGCATGGCCAAACAGAGCTGGTATAAAAGACATAACTTGGAATTAAAGAACAGGATATCCCCTAGCATGCTCTGAATCTAAAAATATGATTTCAGTACTAGACCTGAACTTAGCTCACAGTCCTGTCATAAAATACCCACAAATTACTGCCCGTTTTGTTCATTTTAGAAGCTTAATTTAGTTGAGGGGGTTAACATGTTTTGTTTAGTTTTCCATTGCTGTTGTTCGGGTCCTGGGTGACAGAAACCCTTGATGATCTATAGCAAATCACCTAGACAGATCCAATAGATCTACCTTCTGCCCACACGTGTTCAGTGCACTTGCATTACCAATTGAGTGTCTTTTCCTGCACCTTATCCACCTTAAAATGTTAAACAACATCCTTGATATGTGCCATCAGCATTGAGCAGTTCAGGTAGCCAAAACTAGCTGCACTACAGTTGAAAGAATTATATGATGGCCACCCAATGCCTTGCCTGACTGGCTACTGATTTAAGTCTGGGCCCAATCTAAGCGGTTAGTTTGACATATAAAGCCCTAAATTGTTTAGGACCTGGTTATCTGAAGGAACATCTCCTTCCATATATACTGTACCTGCCAGATCTTAAGATCTTCTACTGAGGTCCTTCTTCAGGAGTCCTCTTGGAAAGAGGTTATAAGAGTGGCTACCTGGAGAAGGCCCTTTTCTGTAGTAGTGCCCTGGCTGTAGAACCTGCTCCACAGAGGTGTGTGCCTGGTGCCTACGCTTTACTCATTTTGGCACCAGGCCAAAACCTTTTTATTCACCCAATTGTTTAACGACTGATGAATTTTTAAAGTGGGAAATTTATCATATGTTTTTACATTGTGTTTTTACTGTGCTGTTACTGTTGTCAGCCATCTTGAGACCAGTTTTTTATAGATGGGACATAAATGTTTTAAATAAGTAACTATAAATACAATGTCAACTCCTTAATTTCAATTAAAATTTTGTTCAGTGTTGTGAATTCTACAATCAGGCCACACAACTAAAAAGCCTTTTTTGTACAAATGCATTATGTGGCAGTTGTTTTGAGATCAGAAACCCTCTTTGTTCTGCAATACAAACACTTGTGCATGTTGGAGTTTAGTTTTCCAAGCAGTTCTCCTGCTTGGAATGTCATTTGTGTACAGGAAAGTGAAACCAAAGTACAACTCCTGTGGGAAATAAGATTCCACACAAAGAAGCAAATGCTTGGAAAACAGATGAGCTTTTTCTGAGAGATCATGTAAATTGCAAGCTGTTTCCAAATCAAATCAATAGGATTTTGCCAAACACTCTAAATAATCAACACTATGAACATGTTCCCAATATTTATAATTTGTTCAATCCAGAGAATATGGCATGGAATATTGTTTAGCACAGTCTTTGGAATATCTGGGCACAGAAAGGGATGTCTTCTAGGGGATAGAATATACAAAATCCTGCAGCCCAATACAAGTAAATTTTTGCTTTCATCTGGCTCCTGTTACACAAGTCTCTTATTTCTTCTTTCTCATCCTTTTTGTTACTACTGTCTCCCATTCCATCCATCACTTTGATGTCCCTGTTAACGTGTTGATAGTAAGCTTCCCAAGATAAGGATCTGTCTTTCCTTATGTATCTCATTATGTCACACATATTAATGGCAACCATCTAGCTATGAACACACACACACACACACACTTTGATGATACAGATGCTTTGAATGTCCTTTGGGTCGTTTAGAGAAGTTAAACTGTAGTTTACTAATATTCAGTTGTCATAATACTCTGCACTATGGAAAGTCCTTGCAAATCATCCTTTGCATAATGCCTTTCAGAACTGCAAAGTTTATCTCACAATGTGAGTGTCCCACTTCCTGTGGGCTGGGAAGGTCAAATCTGAGCATGCAACCTCTCTATCAAGGTAAAGCACAGGTGCAGAAAGAGAGAAGGTGAACAGAGAAAAATGCCTCTACTCACTGTGAACTTGTCTTGTGCTTTGTCTTCCTGGCTATGCTGCATCTGTGATCAGATCCAGAGCTCTCCTGCAACCTAGGGTGTTAAATTGCAGTAAGGAAACCCCAAATCTAACACATGCTTTGCCTGAAGATGATGGTTTAAACTTCTACATTCCTTCCTTATAAACTGACAGCGTATATAAATGCTGAGGACAGTAAATTGTAAACTGCTTCTTCAAGTACAACATGGAGATTCTGGGAATTGAACTGGGAAGCTTCTGCATGACAAACAGGCACTCAGCCTTTGATTCACAAGCCCCTCAGCCATATCCAGCTAATGCACACATTGACAAAGGAAAATAGCACCTTGTTAAATGTGGTCTGCTACTAATACACAGGTAAAAATGGAATCATGTATCTCTAAAAGCTAGTTATTCCACAGCCTATGACTTGAAATAAGCCCAAGACAATTCACATACAAGGAAAGCAACCAGACTTCTCATGAGCAAACAGCTTTAAGATGTCTACAAAGGTGACATTCTGATACTCATTTCTATCCTAACTTTATAGACCATAGTTATGTTCCAGACTCCCAGAATGAGCTCCATGATACAAGGAGATCACACTATGTTTAAAATCCTGCCAGAATTGAATGTGTATGTTTCATTAGATGTTGCATCTGAATAATTTAAGAGATTTGAGTATGCCAGTTATGTCCATACAAACCTCTGTTGGTCATCTGAGCTTCCATGTAGCCTGAAGGGCCTGATCATGCCTCATCTTGGAAGCTAAGCAGGGTCAGGCCTGGTTGGAATCAGGACAGGGGACTTCAGTGTTGTGAACCACCCAAAGAACTTCGGCTATGGGTGGTATAGAAATATAATTAATAATAATGATAATCTTGGGCTGAAATAATCTATTTTATCACAGATAACCTTCATTTCCACAGATCTTTGATTTCATGAGCAGGTCCATTAAAATAATTGGCTACTCTTCTAAGTGAATGTTACGGGACAGAGCAGGCTTCATACCTGCCATATTATAATAGTGCCAAGATTCTCATTCTTATGAAAAATCTTTGGAATATTTTATTCATCAAAATGAGGTCATATTTCACAGAAGTGCACAGTATGCTATCTTTTAAAAAATATATTGGAGTTAAATGTTGGCATTCATAATCCACTGGAAGAATTTTCGACAGTCATGTTTACTAACACAACACTACTTCTCTAGAGCAGCTTTTCCAAAAAAAAAAAAAAAAAAAACTTTCCAGATATTAATTACCTTTCAGAGCCACATTTCAAATCATCCTTCCATTAATGCTATTTTATTTTTCACATAAGTGAAGCCTTTAAAATTTAGTGTTCCTGCAGAATGTTTAAATATGGATTGTTATTAATGTTAGGGATAAACTGATGGGCAAGATCCCTAAAGTCTTTTTATTCACACTGTGCAAGCAAAAGAAACTAGTCTCTAGAAATATGGAAATATGCAAATAAAGAGAAAATACTTGGCCAAACCCATTTATTCTCCATTGTTTTATATTGGTGCTTTAGTAATCACTGTTAAACTTTATACTTGGGAAGAACAAATACCTTTGTTCCCCTCCCCACACGAGGAGGAGGGGGGAGTTACCTACATCCCCAATAATTATCAAACCACCACTTGCTTATACAGCTTACATCTTTGGATTTCAACTGACCCCATTGTTACAAACACTCAGTGCCACATACTAGCTCTATGCCAGTATATCGGGCTTTGATCCAGCAGAACATATACACGAGAGCTTTTAGCATAATCTTAAGCACAATCTGTACTCACAGCTACAGCCCTTTATTTCCATCAGAGTGACAAAAATCGTTGAGTCAGAAAGACATCATTACATATCAGTACTCAGAGAATAGGCTTGTGTAAATCTTAAAAGTAGTCCTATACTACAACTTTTCTTGCTCTGCATAGAGTTAGGCATAAAGAAGGGCCTGGACTGGTGAAAAATTGCTGCCTGTTACAGATATTGCTGCTCAATCCTGCACACAGCGCCTTCCAGTTGAATGCAACAAAGAGAAAACGAAAAGGAAGTAGCAGGGTGGCTGCATCAAGGTACTGGGAGCAGCCACTGACAAGAATGTCTGAACCTGTATCCTGTCTTGCGTCATACAGCCAAATTTAGACTTAATTTTTTCAAAGGCTGTATACGCACAGCCCATATCTTGAGTAAGGCCAAAGTTTACCCTGAGTAATACTGGAAGCATCCCTGACTGATGCAAGGCATTCTTGGTCATTTCAGTGCTTTTCACACAGCCACCTTTCTTGGCTTGCTCACCATGAGTAGCCATTGCCTCCAAAAGTTGCACTATATCAGGCAGACATGTCTCCCCCACCCCCACCCCCTCCCCCCTCCGCATAGAGAATTGCAAGGGGCATGACTTGTTTTTTATTCTATTTCTTACATTCCAGTACCTTAAACACTATAGAAATCAAATCCACGTTTTTTCATTTCATCTGCTTCATCTGTCTGATTTAGCCATGTCACCATTACTCCCATACAGCTACTTGAATGCCAGTTTTGCTACTGTTAGTGCTGGACAGTTTTGAAAAGCTTGCTTGCAGATTGTAGGGGCCACATCCACTGGGGCTGCTGCACTCACACATCTGACACAGTGGACCTTAACGGACCCCTACAGCAACGCTAATAGCACATGATGGGGCAATGGATTCTTCAGGGGAAAATGCCGGAGTATGCTGTTGGCGTTGTGCCCTTATGCTAGGGCTGTGTCTGTTGAGAAACTAAGGCAGTCATGTTATCCAATCGCTTGCATGCAGACACACTAAACTAAGCTTCTCTCCTGAGCAGTTCAGAGCAAACCTACAGCTACAATGACTATCTGTATATATTTCATATCTGTCTTCCTAAATAATGAAGCTAAGCTTTTCAGATAAAAGTAATTGTAAAATTAGAGATTTTTGAAAGTTGTGGACAGATATTAGCAAATCTCTCTATGCATTTCTTTCCCATGGTTCAATGTAATCCAGGCCAAGGTGTGCAAAAATTTCTTCCTCACTTGCAGCAGACAGGAACATTTTCTGAAAGAATAAAAAAGATTACTGTAAGTTAGGTTAGGTCACTTTTATCCATTCATACCAGAATAACCTTCTTAGCCTTTTAGATATGTCACTTGTCTTGATCTTGTCAGAAAACTTACCATCATATTCTGAATGAAGAACCATCCATTTCAGGATAGATAAATGTCCTTGCTTTGCAAGGTGTATGTATATAAAAAGGAATAAAGATCTCTTTATTTTAGGATGTCAAGTTATATTTGTAATTCAGTCTCTCTCTCTCTCTCTTGGTTAAAAGTCTCCCTTTTCTCAGCTTATCTCAACCAAGCAGTTATTTCACTTAACATAAATATTCATTTATGGCTGTTAACCTGACTGTTAACTACACTTAATATAAAATGGCTGTTTTGCAAATGACTGTTTATGAACCACAATGTTGCATTTCCCGTTCAGTTTCAGTGATGCATCCAGTAAGTAAAGCATGAAGAGAATAGGCTTAGTTAACATTTTAAACAATGAATCTTTGTTATTGCAACAAGATTTATAACTCTTAGCTTGTTGTTCAAATCCATTCCTTTCATATTACAAATGTAGCTTTTACAAAATGATTGACATGATAGATTCACTGATATCTTTGCAAAGCAATTTCCAGAAAGGAGTGAATGAGTCCTTTGTTAGCCATACCGTCAACCAACAAAGGAGTGCTGTCTATGTATTAAACGAAATAAAAATTAATAACCCAGAACTATCAGTTTGCCTACATTTTATCCCCAGTGGTGCTGGGTTGCAATTTTACAACTTTATCCTACCCGTATCTCCACCCTCTACAATGAGTAAGACTTTTGGTGTTACTCAGCAACTAGGGAAAGGGTGTAGCACAGGACCGAGGTGGGGAAACATGATGAGGAGAATGCACCTCTACATCATCTCCCATTTAAGTGGAGGTTTTAAAGGCAAAAGGTGTGCCTGGTTCCTTAAAGACATGATTAACTTGATTAAATTCATCATATACTTGATGTCCCATGGAATGTACAGCCATGCATATGTATGGTTCTGTCAACCTTGTACCATCATTTCATGTTCATAAAACAGCTTTAGGGACATCCAATTTTTCTGTAGCTGTAAACAAGTATCTGAGTTTCTTGTCAATGGCTTCTAGAAGCTGCTCAATGAATGTTAAGCACCTATAAAATCCTAACACCATAAATTAGGTTTGAAAAAGGAGCTATATGAATATTTAGTCCATATTTATATGGGCAAGGGTGGGGGGGGGAGGAAGAGAGAGAGAGTTGTTCACTGCACTGTCTCTCCCTGTGTCATGCATGCACGCTCTGGAGAGATTCCCAGGCACGCACAAGAAGCGGCCTGTTTTGGTGTGGTGGGACTGATAGATGAGACTCTGAGGATGATGTGGTGCTGGTTGAACTAGACAAGGCTCAGGCCTCAAACTCTGATAACTGAATTGTTGTTGCAACAGACAGGCCTGCACCTGCAGACTCAACCTCTTAGTATCAGTCTGAGCCTGCTCTGAATGAAAGTAGCTCAAGGATACCCATGGGGCCCAGTCTCCCCACCTGTGGGAATGAAGCAGAAGGAAGACAGGAGGGAGGAGATTTGGAAAAGGGTAGTCTCTCGGATGGAGAACGTCAGCCTCCTGAGGATGTGGATCTGAGGGTCTGTCATCACAGCGGCAGGCTGGCCAAATTAGGGGGCTCAGAGTGCAGAGCGCAGACGTGCCCAGTCCACAGCACCCCTCCTTCCAGACAGGCTCTGAAGGGTTCATAAGCAAAGCTTTGGGTAAAGGGGGGCAGAGAAGGTTCAACAACTCTTTGTGTATGATCAGAGGTTCATGAATGTTTGGAGTCTTCTGTGTAGAACAAAGACACTTACAAGAAGTGCTGGAGAGACTGTCTTGCTTGGAAGGGAATGCCTAGCTCACAACACAACACCCTGGTCTCTTCCTTGCTTTCATACCTTTGTGCTCATCACTTATTGTTGTGCTATTTCAAAGAAGGTGGTAGCAGGAACTGCACAATGTATGGGAGCTTTGGCACAGGACCACAGCAAAGGCTGGAGCACTGAAGCCCCTTCCAAATCTAAGCTCATAAACATCCAATTTTGCCCATTTGAAAAGTTAATACCACAATTTCTTCTCAAAAGCATTTCAAGATCAATACAGTGGGCCAAGTACAATGACAGTCATCTGAATGGGATGGTGCAACTTAGGTTCTTGCAATAGCAGGGGGTGGACCCAATGGCTTTCTGACCCCTTCCAACACTACTATTCTATGATCTATCATTCCATGAAGTTAAGACTGGGGCACATAGCCTAATCTGCCTGTCATGTTTGGACAACAACAATGATGGGCTCAGAAGGTCATGTAGAAAGGTCTTCCATTTGTACAAAGCAGAAAGGCATGTTGCCTCCTTCACATTAAAAAAAATGACACCCCTGGTTTTCCTCCCTAAAGGCAAGGCAATTAAGAAGAGACATGTTAGGTCACACTAAGGAAGGGGTGGCTCCTTCTGCACACAGTTGTTTTTGGCTTTTATCTCTCATCACAAGGTCAAAGCAAAGGGACAGGCTTTTTCAGAAGCAGATTTCACACAGCCTAGCACCAGCACACTGAAAGGGCCCTCACCGGGGACAACAGAAACAGAGTGAGTCGGGACCTCCTTGGCCATCTAGTCTGACCCCCAACTCCAGCCAACTCCAGTCATGACAAGCCTATCATGTGCATGTCCAGCCTATCCTTGAACACACTCACCAATGGGGTATGGAAGCCCATTCCATACCCTAGGGGTCCTAACCATCAGGACATCTACATCACACTGGAGCTACATGGTCTGCAAATAATAAGTGGCTAAAAAGGTGCAAATTGAGGCCCATCCTACAGATGGAAATGTGTGAGTTGGCTCAGTTTGCAACCCAGGGAGTCAGCACCAATGCAAGTGTTACAGTAGGGGCTAAGTTTAAGAGTTAGGGCTTGGAAAATCTGGGTTTCTGTCCATGTCCAAGGGCCTGGAAATACCCAGTTAGGAATAAAGAGTGAATGGTCAATAAGAACAGGCTTAGTGCTTCCTTTCTTCATGCTGTCTGAATGTAACAGAATTATACATGGATGTTAGGGTTCAAAATCAGCATCAGATTTTGATAAACCTGAGTTTGATCATCTTGGGCTCCCATACATGTCCAGGGAGTGGAAATAGGCTAGGCTGAGCAAACATTGAGCAAGCATTGAATATTGAGGTTAAGCTTCAGGTAAGTGTTATGATTAAGAAAATCTGGATCTGTATGAATATCCTAGAAATAGCCCTGACTGGACAAAGATAGTGAAGCATCCACAATCTCATTCTGAGAGCTGCCTTGATGGATATTTTCTGAACATACATGCATCACACTTGGGTATTAGGGCTGTGGTTAACATTCAAGTTATGTTTACAATTGTGAACACCTGGATTACCATGCAGATGCAGGGGCCTGGAAATAGCTGTGTTTCGGCAAAAAGGGCGCCTGGTCAACAGGAACACCATGAGTCTGGTTCTATTGTAATTATGCCTGGTTGTTAGTACTGGGATTCAGCTTCCAGTTTGTGTAGAGTGGGGTTAACCTGGGACCTTTTGCATGTTAAAGGGCCTGGAACTAATTTAAATTGGGCAAACAAAGCAAGCAAATAACAAGCACACCATGATGGCTGCCTTTGTGCATATTGTCTGAATATATATATTGATTTATAGTATGATGTTAAGCTTCAAGTTCAGCTTAAGATACTGAAACATGGAAATCCAGCTTGTTTGACTTGGATTGTTTTCCTGTCCCTTTCAGAAGTGGTCCAGGTGGGGCAGAATGGACTGAGAAGACTGCACAGTGGTCTGCAACATCTGTCCACTGTTTTTCTTCCTGAGGTTAACATGGCCTACATGTGCTACAAGTGCAAGCCAGTAGACCTGCTGGAGGAAAAGGTGAGAGCACTAGAGTATCCTCCTTCAAAGAAATAAAATAAGAGTTTTTAGAGCAGTGTAAAACTGCAACTAGCGGTAGACAGGAGCTAGAAGTGTCACAGCAAGCTGAGGCAGAAGAAGAGAATCCTGGAAGGGTACTTTTGAACCACTTTCAACCACTAACAGAAGAGATGGGTGAACAACCAGTTGTGAATAAACTTCATGATACACTGAAAGATGTTGAACAAGAGGATAAAAGAGGACCCAATAAGAGAAGCATTACAGCTTGCAATAATAAGAAAAGAGGAGTATTAGTTGTGGGAGACTCTCTGCTTCACAGAATAGAAAAATATGTGTGCTGAGAATTGCCAGATATGCTGTCTCCCTGGAGCCAAGATTAATGATATAACCAATAAATTCAGGCATCTCATACAGCCCACTGATAAATACCCCTTCTCATCCACTTGGGGACAAATGACACTGCCAGCAGAAGCTTTGATGAAATAACATCAGACTTCGAAGCTCTAGGGGGAAGGTCAAAAACCCTGGGGCCCAGATAGTCTTCATCCCAATTCTACCAGCATATGGAAGAGGAACTGATGTGAAAAGAGAAATCTTTGAAGTGAGAGACTGGCTACAATAGTGGTGCCAAAAAGAGAGATTTAGATTGTGGGACCATAAGCTAAGGTTCCTGGAAGATGGACTATTGGAAAATGATGGACTGCACCTCACAAAGAAAGAAAGCTTGTGTTTGGCCACTACATCAAAAAGTTCATGAAGAGGGCTTTAAACTGAAACATAAAGGAGCGGGAGATGTGCAGCATGGCATTCCATCACCTGACAAAGACTTACATATTTCAACAGAGAAAAACCTCAAGCAGGGCCTAACATCAGTCTCCCAAAACATATAGGAAGAAAACCAGGACACAATAAGAATGAATTTCAATGCCTGTACACCAATACCCAGGGTATGGAAAACAAACAAAATGAACTTGTGCTCATAGCACACAAGGGCAATTTTGATCTTTTAGGAATAATTGAAATCTGGTGGGATGACTCACATGACTGGACCTCTCCAACTG